CTGAGGCGGAAGGATCACCGGAGCCCAGCAGGTCGAGGCTGCGGTGGCCGGGAGCGACCACTTCTGGGCGACAGAGTGAGACTCCAACTCAAAAAAAAGGAAAAAAAAAAAAAGGAAAGAAAAAAAGAAGCCTTTTATGGTGGTGGAGGAGTCTTGATTCATGATCGTGGAAGAGCTTTGCCATCGAGGATGCCGTCTACTTCTGGGAAAACACTTCGGGGTTTACCTTAAGGTCTCCAGCAGGTGTTCAGTTACAAGAGTCCGTAGGGGCCTTTTGAGTTTGGGGGTGAAGCAATTTTTCTAAAAATTCTTGAGTTCTGGGCCCACAGTTCTCATACATAAAATTAGCTGGAGCTCCAGAAGGTGGCGCCCCAGACTCCTTGGACTCAGACAAGTCCATCACCCAGGTCTCAGCTGGATCTAATGCGGTTAATTTTTGGAGCCAATTCAATCCCGGACCCAGTCCAGACTAAGAAGGAATTCAATCAACTTGGCGCCTCAGGCTCAAAACACAAGTTCACGGAGCTTGAATCCAGCAGCCCCAGCTGCTTCAAGAGAGCAGTGGGCACACAGGCCTGGCCAGTCCCCTCACTTGGTGACTCTGTGCTCCTAGGGGTTGCTGGAGGTCTGCCTCTGACCCCGCTTCGGATGCCAAACTGTTAAAGCTTTGGACAAATTAAATCTAACAGTTTTACTGAGCAGAGCACAACTCATGAATCGGGGGGTATGTGGACCCCCTGGTGTAGGTCAGAGAGCACTCCACCGTCCGGGAAGAGGATATTAATTATGAAAAGACAACAAAAAACAATCAGAAGCGGCTTGGTTTTGAGACAAGCTGATGTTTGTGGTGTTTACTTTTTTTTTCCCCCAGAGGTAAGAAAACAGGAGTGTATTTAAGAAGACAAAAAAGCTCCCAAGAGGAAGGAGACCTGAAAGAGGGTTGCCCAGTGTTTGCCTTTTACGCACACGATCTGATCAGTTGGCAGCCTGTGACGGCTGAGGCCCTGTTACTTGTGACATAGCACACTCCTAAATTTGGCTTTCAGTTTGTTTATGTACAAAGTCAGGGTGCGGTTGATCACCTCGGGACTCAAGGTACTGAGGCAGCCTCAGGCCAAATTTCAGCTAATTTAACGGCTCAAATTCTTACACAGGCACACATATGTTTAAACAGCAACAGTCACAAAATTAGTCTGAAAACGTCCAGGTATGGTCACATGCTATGGCTTGGCTGTGAAAAGGAGTGAAACACTGACACGCTACAATGTAAGTGGACCGTGAAAGCACACCACACGAATGAAGCCAGATAGAAAAGGTCATCCATTGCCTGGTTTTTCTTTCTTTCTCTTTTTTTGTTTTGAGTTGCTGTCTCGCCCTGTCGCCCAGGCTGGACGTGGCACACTCATGGCCACCCCAGCGTTGACTTGCCAGCTCCGGTGATCCTTCTGCCTCAGCCTTCCAAGTAGCTGGGACTACAGGTGCGCGATACCGTGCCCGGCTACTTTTCTGATTTGTTGTAGAGACTTGGTCTCCAACGCTTCCGCCTCCCAAAGTGCTGGGCTTACCGGCTGAGCCACTGAGCCCGGCCTCGTGATTTTTCTTATTTGTAACAGGCGAATCCATTGAGACAGAGACAGGGCGGTGCTTGTCAGGGCATGGGAAGAGGGGGACTGCTTCATGAGTGGGGTTTGTTTTGGAGGGGGGAAAATGTTTTGGAAACAGGTAGAGGGGTGCTTGCACCATATTTTGTGAACACACTAAATGTCAATACGTTGTTCATTTAAATATGTTTCTTTTTTTTTTTTTTTAGAGACAGAGAGTCACTATGTTGCTCAGCTGATCATGAGCTCCGGGGCTCAAGCGACCCTCCTGCCTCAGTCTCCCAAAATGCTGGATTACGGGTGTGAGCCACCACTCCCCACTTGAAGTGTTCACTTTAGATGGCTATATGCTGTGTGGATTTCACCACAATAAAAGAACCAAGTGCAGCAATGATCGTTTCGTGAAATACCGTGCTGTTTGGGATTTGCTTCAAAATAACGTGGCTGGGATGGGGATATATAAAAAGTGGTCAGAAATCCACTTTGGTTTGCAAAGAAAAACGGACGGATGGGTGAGCATCAAGCTCCGCTCTGGGGCCATCGCGTCCACCAGGGCGCCAAACCCACGGGCCGGGGGTGGGAGAGGGTCTGGAGCCGGAAGGGCTGGAGGGGCCGGAGCCGGGGGCGGACGGAGGGGACGGGCCGGAGGGGGCGGGGAGG